GCGGGGGGGGGGGGGGGGTGGGGGGGAAGATTTCCCACCAGCCCCTGTGATGCCCACAGGGTGGCAAGTCCCTTCCCACCCCACAAATCAGCCCAGACTTTACAGGCAGAAATTTCCCTCTAATAATCCAGTAAAACCAAAGAATGAAGCTGCAGGAAAACACACGAACCCCCCCCCAGGAGACCAAGCTGTGCAATTAACATGCCCTGGATGGTGTCTGGGGGGGAAGATTTCCCACCAGCCCCTGTGATGCCCACAGGGTGGCAAGTCCCTTCCCACCCCACAAATCAGCCCAGACTTTACAGGCAGAAATTTCCCTCTAATAATCCAGTAAAACCAAAGAATGAAGCTGCAGGAAAACACACGAACCCCCCCCCAGGAGACCAAGCTGTGCAATTAACATGCCCTGGATGGTGTCTGGGCTGACTCTGCAAGCAGCTGGTACACCAAGAGCCTTCAGTAGAGATGCTGATTCTTCCCCCCAACAGGGCTCCCTGGAATATTAATTACAAATCTCTGGCACAACGAGCTTGACGAGCCCAGGAACCTGACTGCCACTGAGCTGGGAAGTGTTGCCTCCTTCCTGAATGATTTTCAGCAGAATCTTTCAGTGCTTTGGGGTCAGGAGTGGATGTGGGGGCCAGGGCCCTGCTGGGTGCAAGTGGAGGACTGTGCACCAGCAGAGATCATCATGGAACAGCTTGGGTGAGAAAGGACCTTCAAGATCATCCAGATCCAACCCCCTGCATGGGCAGAGACACCTCCCACCAGCCCAGGTTGCTCCAAGCCCCATCCAACCTGCCTTTCAACACCCCCAGGGATGGGGCAGCCACAGCTTCCCTGAGCAACCTGAGCCAGGCTCTCACCACCCTCACAACAAAGAATTCCCTCCTCATGTCCAAGCCCCATCTCCCTCTCCCAGTTTGCATCCATCCCCCTCATCCCATCCCTCCCTGCCCTTGTCCCAAGTCCCTCCCCAGCTTTCCTGGAGCCCCTTCAGGCACTGGAAGCTGCTCTAAGGTCTCCCTGGAGCCTTCTCTTCTCCAGACTGAACACCCCAACTCTCCTAGCCTGGCTCCAGAGCAGAGCTGCTCCAGCCCTCCCATCATCTCTGTGGCTCCTCTGGACTCTCTCCAGGAGCTCCATGTCATTCTGATGTTGGGGGCTCCAGAGCTGGACCCAGCCCTGCAGGGCCGGGAGGGGGGGACATGACAGCAGAGGAGGAAATTCCCCTCCTTTGACCTGCTGGCCACACTTCATTTGATGCAGCCCAGGACACAGTTTGTTTCTGGGCTGCAAGATGACCCTGTGCAAACAGCCAGAGAGACGAAAAAAAAAGGGCTTGGGAGCTTTTGGGATAGGTTTTGTGGTCAACAGACTAGATCTGAGGCCTGGTGGGAATCCATGTGATGATTTTGCTAAGCTGCTAGATGGAAGTAACTGCTGCAAACTGCCAGCTCCTCATCTGGCCCCAACCCCAGCCCCAAGCTGGAGTCCCTTCACTGCACCCAAGATTGGAGCCACAAAAAACCTCCTTAACATCCCCAAAACTCCTTTGGATGGGAATGGGCAGCTTGCTGCTGGAAGTGCTAAGGGAGCAGCCAATGTTTGCTGCTTAGGTGCCTGGGTTCACTGCCTGTTGCATAAATTAATTAGTTGAGGCTTTTCACAGGATCCTGCTGCAATTCCCTGGCTCCAAGCCAGGACTGGGAAGCACTAATTTCAAGTTAAATTAGGCTGAGGGCTGCCCACGTGGGCACTTTACAGGGATGGGAACCATCCTGTCCTCTCCAATCCCAAGACACAACCACACACCATCCTCCTTTGGATAAAAGCAGCCAAATTATGGCTCCTACCAACTAATTTGATATTTAATTGCATTAAAAGCAGAGCTGCTGCCACTCTCATCTGTGTTCCTTTGGCAGACAAGTCTCTCTGAACACCCTATGTGACAAAAGGTTTTGCAGCTGGACAGCAAAATGGGTTTAAATGGGAAACTGCTGCCCAGCTCCCTGGGCTCTGGGCTGTCAAACCACATTCATGGAATGGGTTGGAAGGACCTTAAAAATCATCCAGTTCCAACCCCCTGCATGGGCAGGGACACCTCCAATCAGCCCAGGTTGCTCCAAGCCCCATCCAACCTGCCCTTCAACACTCCCAGGGATGGGGCAGCCACAGCTTCCCTGCCCAACCTGGGCCAGGCTCTCACCACCCTCACAGGGAAGCAATTTCTCCCTCATATCCAACCTCCATCTCCCTCTTCCCATTTAAAACCATCAAAACCTGACACCCTTCTGCTGATGCCAAGGGTGGTATTACTCCCTGTCATACCAATGC